CAAATGATATTTATATTGTTATTCTTAAACATTAAAGACCAAAAAGAATATAAAAGAAATAATGTACAGTATATCAAATTACAAATAAACACCATATTTTAGTGCATATAATCCACAAAAAGTTGCTAGAACTAAAAAAAACCTTTACATAATCCGCCCATCATGTACCCTGTGCCTATGGGAGAAAACTGTGAGTCTTTAATTGCCCTTTAAGATCGGCATGTTACCAACCCATTTGCATAATCCACATCTCCTTGTGAGGTGTCTTTTAAACACAGATAACCCATCTTTTATATGCATAAAAATATGGTAATTAAAATAAATTAACACATTTTTAAATTATAAAACATATTATAAATATGTAAAAAAAAGAACATGTTTGTTCATTTTCACATTTTAGTGAAAAGCCTTTTCAAAATGATTGTGGATATAAATAATACTTCAACCACTCACAGAATAGTCAGAAAGTGTTTACATGTTAGATAGTATCCCAAATCTCCAATTACAGAATTCAATATACGACAGGTCAGATACAGATTAGGTCTAGTTTAAAATCCCAATACAATCAGAATCCCTACGCAATTAAAATGTCAACAAAATCAAAGCCTGATATTGTTATTGTTTTGTATATTATTCTTCCAATAAAAAATTTTTATAAAATTTTGTAGATGTCAGGGGACTTTCTATTGAATGTTTTGTATAGTTTAAGCAAAAATAACATAAAAAGTTTAACTCAACTAATGTTTAATGATCAGTTTAACAGTCTGTTTTCTGTATCAAACAAACAAAATTAGCTTTACAATAATTGATTATATAGTACAGTGGGTGATCGGTTAGCAAACAAATTGGATAATGAACACTTTCACGAAAGATTTTTATGTTCGGACAACAAACACATGATCGGACAAAGAACACATGATCGGATAACAAACACCTCATGGAACAAACACAATAAGAAGCGATGTAAAAATAATAAATACCAATTGGTCTTCTCTTGTCTTCAGGCAACAATTCAAAACTTTTCGGAGCACGGGTGACGTCGACATCAATGCCCACCCAGTATATATTGATCGAATAGTATTCCTCAGAACTTCGAAAATCTCCCTTGTAATTCCAGCCTTTTATTTTTCTGACAAAAACAATTTTTTTATAGTATTTGCAAGACTGTCAGGCGAGCACTCGTTAAATTTTGTGTATGTTTTTATTTTCGAAAGATGAGATTATAGTAGCAAAAGTAGAGAATGGGCAGATATCTGATGTATGTTGTTGCTGGGCAGTATGGCTTTAATTAACAGGTCTATAATAGGCTGCAGTTCAATGTTATCTAAGAAAGATACTGTATTATCAAGAAGACTCAAGCAGCTTAAGGTGTAAAAAACAAATGCATCTGAGAAATAAAGAACATTGAAGAGCTCATAATGAAACCGGAAACGAATCTGACGACAGAAGAACGCCAAGAACTCTTGAATGAAGAACACCAAGAAACTCGGCAAGATATGTTTTCTTCTGAAAGAGAGGATTAATGTCGATATCTGCTATTAAACCTTTTTTTTTGAAGAAGTTGGATGATGTCAGAATGACAGTCTTAATGATGTACAAAAGTTTCAGTAAAAGATTCCTTATATTTTACATCAGGTAGCATATTCAGAAGATAGCATACTAATTTCTGTGGAAATTCAAATTTAATTGTCCAAAATACTAATTCTTCAAGAAATGTAGTGTGTTTTAATTCTGCCTGAAGAGATTTAATATCTTGCAACATATTTTGTATTAAGATACGAGTTGTTCATGACAGTCTTAGAATGGCATCCAAACCAGGTTCAGGTTATAGGCTTAGGGATCTCTACAATTACAATGCTATTAATTATTTCTGAAATATCTTGAAGAGAGAAAAACAATCAAAATTAGACAGATTCTTTAATCCCCACAAATAGAAAAAACATGACTAATAAAAATGCAAGACTGTCTATATATGTATTTTTATTATTACATATAAATAAACATAGTAAGTAAGTATATATTTTTTTATTTTTGGGGTCTGCAAAACGAATTAACCAAATTCCCATAAAAACCTAGGATAAATCGATAATCAGTTAACGAACAATTCAAATAGCAAACAAATTCTTAAAACGGATTATGTTCATTAATCGATCACCCACTGTATTATATATTGCTGTATTATCTACTAACCTAATAAATTCTGTCTGTACATCTGTAACTCAATACAACCACTTCGTATTCGTGAAACTTGCATTTTTATATCAATCACATTCCAATTCAAATTTTCCTTTGAACAATCCATAAAATTTTAACAGTTAGCTGATTAGTCATTATGTTTATAATAATTTGAGAGTTTAAATTTATTTATATTTAAGAAAATAAATTACTTCTGTTCTACAATCCAGCAAAAATTGACAAGTTTTGTTACCGACTTGTTACAACTAACAAATAAAGTGAAACAAAAATAAGTAATTTATGACAATAATGAAAGTTAAAAAGTAACTTTGTAATTCAAAATTGTAATAATTTAAATACACGGATCCCACAGTAGTTACGTTCTGAAAAAGTGCCATGTTATGCAAATCCATGCTATACAAAACAGAGGACTAACACAAAACATAGGGTTATGTTCCAGAAGTTAACAAAAGTACACTATTGTTTTTGTTACTAAGAGAAATATGTTTATTAAAGAAATTGATAATTTATTTCCAATCAATAATTAATTAACAATCAGTTAAAAGTACTGTGTGACATGTGAATATTAATTTTAGTTAAATGAGGGCATTTTCTTTTTACAAAGTATCATCATCTCAGCTTTTTCATTGATCTTGATCAGAAGTATCAAGCAACATTTTCATATTTTTTTATTTTCATCATTAAAAATTTTTATAAATGACAAAATAAAAATATGTTACTAATCTAAAATTTGTTCTAACAGGTCATGTTTATTCAGTCAAATACCAAGTGACTTTTTTCCAGAATTTGTGTTCAAATGCTGAATTGTTTAAGTACCAAACTACTGCTGTATTTCATTTATCATTTTTATGAACAAAGTAATCATTCATAGGGAAGTAATACCTACAGTTAAATAAACTTTAATAAATATGAATGTTTTGATATACAGTATTTTGCACTTACAATAGCTGATGAGAGTGAAATGGAAGTGCTGCAAAATAGTTAGAATTTAAATTCAAGCAGTACTTCTGTACATTTTCTTTTGTTTCTTCTGTACAATTTATGATAAAATATGCAACATTATGTATTGTATAACCTTGCATATAGCATACTTTTTATTTATTTATTTTTGGGTTGCAATTTGAAAAAAATTGTAGGCCTATAAATTCCCACTATCATCTGCCTGTCATCCCTTAATCTAAAGAATGGCATTAGATAGATGAAAGTTAAGATCAGATATGGAAAGCTTAGAGGCAGAAGGCAAAGGAAAACAGGTCACACAATAAATAATTCTAAACAACACTTTATGAGACAGAAGTTAATATACAGTACATAGATCTAACCTTCCTTAAGTTGGAACTCGCATAACATGCACTTGGAGCTTAACATCCCATAACTCTAATATACTTATTACTAGGAATTATAGTGATACTTAATAAAAAAAATATATATTTACAATATTTACAGCGATGATCACATGTTGGTTTCCATTAATACACACTTATCATTGCTAGTGTAACCTGATGTCCGTTGTTACTAGTGGATCATGGTACAATTGATACCCAAAAATTAACAAAGAAAAACACCAAAATAACTTAAGATAGAGATTATTTCCTTAACCTTCTTCAATGTCCAAAAAAGTCTTTGGACTTGGTGGTCAATTGTTCCCTGATGCAAGTGGATTCTCTTCCCACACGAAAGGTTCATTATGTCGTCCTAACTTCCAAGTTGTAGACGGCAACCCTTCTCGCTGTCGTCCTCTTGGTCAGGGGCTTGAGTCTTCACCAGGTGTAGTCCAGAAAGAAAAAGGGCCTCACATGTGTCACGCACATGTTTTTATGTTTGCTGCCATCTGGGACTTCAGCCTTAGTCACATGGTGTCATGACAACAAATCCCAAATAAGCAGGCAGCACCCACCAAAGGTGGCACGTGATAAACAAAAAAAAAATATATGTGTATATATATATATACACATATATTTTTTTATATACAGTAGATCCCCCTATAAGACGGTAGATACGTTCCGTTCTTTATGAATCAATTTTGTAGGAATCATAGTTTACGGACTACGGCTGTTTGAAAGGTTTTCTTTCATAAAATTAATCGATTCTAGACTAATTCGACTCAACATTTCCAAAATACGTATATTTTTTTGAAAATAATCCNCAATAATATGGTAGATTGTTTGGCATTACTTAATTAAAAATTGGGTTTATGGCTTTATTGCTTATATATGAAGAATGAGTATTTAAAAATAATGAAGAAATGATTGATTTCTCATTGTATCGGGTTTAAAATTATTTTAAGTATGTTGTAATTCTTTATCATCAAAAATACTGATGCTTATTAACTACTTTTTTGGTTCTACAAATGGCCAATTTCAGGGTTATTTGCATGTAAAATTAATGACAGTGGTTTTGCAGTTTAAGTTATAATCCTAGTTGGTCTTATGGTGGTTTAGTAAGCTGCTCAGCTGATGTCCTGTAGCTCTGGGTTTGGATCCAGATCCATATGGCAGTCAGGACCTGTTTGTTGTTATGATTTGAGGCTTGTATCTGTAAATCTATTTATTGTGGGTAATATGGATTAGAGTATTGTTGGCTAGTGCTTTTGCAGATAGGCTCATTAATTGATGTGATTTTGGCCAATCATACAATGTGATGTTACCTCATATTGTTTGATTCATTGATTGCTTTGTCTGCAAAATTGTATTTGACTAACATTTATTTCTCTTAATAAATCACATGCTGCTTGAGTGCTATATTATTTCACATAATCCATGCTGTTATTTGTCTTAAATGCAATAGTCTTATTTCTTAAACAGGACAGAATATTCGAAAGCTAATCAAGGATGGTCTGATAATCCGTAAACCTGTGGCTGTTCACTCCCGTGCCAGAGTCAGGAAAAATACCGAAGCCAGGAGGAAGGGAAGACACTGTGGACCTGGAAAGAGGAAAGGTACCGCCAACGCTCGTATGCCGAAGAAGGTGATATGGATCCGGAGAATGAGAGTTTTACGTCGTCTGTTGAAGAAATACAGAGATGCAAAGAAAATAGATAGACATTTGTAAGATAACATTTATCTTATAACAAAATAGATTTATTATTTCAAATTGAGAATATGGTTGATAAACTATTTTCTTCTGTGTTTACATTGCTAGATTATTTAGCATTTTAATAATTAGGTTACTAAAGCATTTTACATTTAGAGAGATGAATTTGGTATATATCAAATTCAATTTAAATTTATAGTTCATACTTCATTGTTTCCACATTAGATCTTACTTTTCTTTTAACTTGTTTCTCTTTTCTGAAAATTAACATTGTTCTGTGTTTTCAAGATATCACGATTTGTACATGAAGGCCAAGGGTAATGTTTTTAAGAACAAGAGAGTTTTGATGGAATTTATCCACAAAAAGAAGGCGGAGAATTCACGTCTCAAAATGCTTGGGTAAGTATTGGTTTCTCTGCCTTTTTATTTTATTTCATTCTGTAGGAGTTCATATTTGCATACTTACATTCTCTTGCTATATCTAATTTTAGCGACCAGGCTGAAGCAAGAAGGCAGAAGGTTCGTGAAGCCAGACGTAGACGCGAGGAGAGACTTCAGCAAAAGAAGGCAGAACGTCTGCAATCTTATGAAAAAGAAGAAGAGGCTACAAAGAAATAATGATTCTTTGTATACTGAAAAGTAAATAATAAAATTTGTAATATGTCATTTGTTTTCATTTCTACATACTTGAATGAGAATTGTCACATAACAAAAGTCATCTTATATCAATAATATTAAGACATGTTTTTAATGAAGACTTGTAATTTTAATTAGATGTATAGGATTTATCTATCATCATTTAAGACAGTAAGACCATGCTTAAAGCAGGGATGCGTTCCTAGACAACAAAGCAGTAAACGAAACAGCATTAAATGAGATCATTTTAACATAGAGTAAATATGGATGGGGGAACACGTGACCAGAAATTAAAGTAAATTTTTTTTTTAATAATAATATATGTTAAATAACACAAACATATGCACACAGAAATGTAAAGTTCATTTTTTGTGACAGGTCCTGACTTCTGAAATTTTTGTTTTTTTTGCAGTAAAGTTGTGAAGTTCATTTGTCGCTTTTTTCTTTCCTTAATTAAGCCAGGGGTGCACAACCTGCGGGCCACATACGGCCCCCTATCAATGTTTATGCGGCCCGCGGACGGTACAGGCCAAATCCCTTCTTTCGAAGTTTCTAAGTGTAGAACTTTTTCCCTTTCACAAAGTCATTAGCACCCAACTGTTTTATGATTTTCCCTGAGGTGNTTACAAATAGCCTAGTAACGCGACAAAAGGTAGAAAACCCAATACGAATGACTACAAAGTACCTAATATATATAAGACTGGGAAACAAAAATACTGACGGAGCACTACAAACTTCTGGTTTAGATTGGAAGTGATGTGATTTCCCCTGAATGGAGTTATTCATGAATTCAAAAATTTTATCCTGAATGGAGTTACATAGATGACTGGCATGACTCTATTGCTATAAGTAAAAGTATGATATGCAAGGGCAAACACTACTAATTTGAGATGGAGAACATACATTTTAAATTAAATAAATTAAGAATATGATTAAAAATTGCAGCAAGGCATCGTGAAGAAATCACAATAAATAACTGCTCATTAACTTGTGATATTTTTGACTTATGATATTGACCACTATTGTAGACCATATCTATAGGAGCAAAAAAGTCAAAAAAACTTAGTCTACAGGTGATCCTTTGTGAGATATAGCCCCCCAAAATCAGACATCCAAAATTGTTAAACACATAATAAGCTTAACAGAGAATGAAGCAGGACTACTATTGTGCCTCAAAAGTAGTTGGCACAATGCATTTCTCATGTTTTACAAACTTCTAGCCATCTCTAATAAAGTGGAAATTAGTCGATTTTTTACATTGTTTTGAGAAATTGTTCTAAATTTTTTCACTCTTAAATTTTATCCATTTTGAGGATCTTCAAAATTCTAAACAGGCCGATTTTGAGGGAGCAAAACCTCACGAAATGACACATGTAATTCCTTCGATTTTTTTACTCCCATGGCCACAGTCTATAGCTCCGATAAGGTCCAAACTGCCTCATTCTGAGCTGAAATTCTATCCATAAATTACATAAAAGTAACTTCTTCCCTAAAATCCTGCCTTTTCTTATATCAATATTTATAAACAACCTTTGACCTTGCATATAAATTTTATAAAACCTTGAAACATAAAATGACGCAAGCTTTAATTTTAAACAGAAATGAAACAATTTAAAGTAAAATAAATGAGATTTAACATTCAATTTCTAAATATTTCATAACTCATTTTATGTTATCATCAACCAAAAATATATTTATTCACATATTTATGATTATAATTAATTTATATTTTGCTCACCTTTCATTTTAAATTAAAATATGAAACTTTTGTCCTCAATTTAATCCATTATTTATTATTTTATACACATTTAATATACTTCTGCCAGATAAACAAACTCTTACACAGCTGACAAATACGCTCCCTCGTGGAGTTTTTAACTTTCGTCAAATTTTTTTACTTCATTAATTATTTATAAAGTTGTTTTTTGGAATAATATTATAAATACGTAAAATGTCTACATTCAAATTTTAAAAGTTTTAGTAATGAATAATATAACCCATTACTTTAAATTTAAAATATATATATATATATAT